TTAAAACAGGACTAACAATATGTACACTGAGTAAAGAGAGAGAAGAAATAGTGTGGAGAGAGTGAGTGAAGTGTGAAGTGGAAGAAGGCGGTCCTGGTCAGGGACCGGATGTGGGGGAGAAAGGACATCTGGGGGTTGAACTGGACGCCTAGGTTGCGCACTGGTTCAATGAGTCTGAGGGACAGTCCAGGGAGATTGAGGAGTTTAGATACGCAGGATTGAAGACGTTGACAGGAGCCAAGGAGTATGGATTCCATCTTGTCCATATTTAGTTGTAAGACGTTTACACTCATCCAGTGCTTGATGTCTGCCAGCAATGCTGTTAGGCAATGTCAAACTTGGGTTTTAAAAACCTGTACCTTGAGTGCAAGGGAAGACTGATATAAGGGAGCAAAATGCTAGTCTTGAAAAGACTTGAGCTCTGTGGAGAGTTAATACTCTTCGGCGGAAAAAAAATGTTTGGAACCAAAGAAAAATAAACAAACAAGCTTTTCAGACTTGATGTGCCAACAGAGTACGATGTCAGAACTTTATAAAGGAGCTTAGTTGTTCGTCGATTGGCAGATCACTTTTCCAAAGGTAAAAATTCCTTTAAAAAAAAATAAACTGGTCACTTCAATCCACGATTGTTTGTGGGATATTGCTGTGCACAGTTGGTTGCCACGTTTCGCCCCCAAAATATACAGTCAATTCACTTTACAGTATATTCTGTGAAGAGATTTGAGATGTCTTGAAGATGTGATAAGGCACTATATCAACTGCAAGGATTATTATTATTATTTGACTATTATAATAGAGGAGAGAGTAAGGTCACAAATGTCGACTTTTGGAGAATAAATAGTGCGGGCTTCAAAGGTGGTAGTTGCTGGTTAGACTTGTTAGAAACATGACATCTGAAGAAATTAAGGAATCAAACTGTTCATTTTCTCTTTGAAGGGAATAGATGATCAAGGTTTAGAGATTTAGTATTGGCACTATGACAGGAATTAAAATATTCACACTGTATTTGGCACAGTTCATCATACCACCTCAGAAGTTTCGTTGAGAACTCCATATATTTAAGTACTTTTATGTTAAATGAGATGGAATGCTAGTCTTGGTTAAAACTCACATTTATATGTCGTAGGTAAACAAAACCACACAGGAGAATCAATGAACTTCCTGCATCAGTACTAAAAGCACAAAGCCTTAGAAATACTCAAGACTCATCTGCGCCAAATAAACTTACACCAGAACATATTGCAGAAAAGGCCTTTGTGATGTATCTGGTCAGTCAGTCCCATGTGCATAACAAATAAACCCACACAATTCGTTTTGGATTCGAGACTCATTTGAATCCCTGGATAATCTATTTCGCAACTCTATGTTAAGTGAATAAATCTGAACCGTCTGTTCACCTCCCCTCAAAAGCTTTAGTCTGCTCCCACTAGCTCCACTGGGGGAAGCTAGCACAACACAAACCCAAAGGCTAAATAGCTTCTTTCTGTACTGAAATTTCAATGAACTGATTGATGGCTATTCAAAGGGAAGAAATTCATAGAAAGTGGACAGGAAAACATTAGTAGTTTGCCCAGCTTGTATTTTCCACATCAACAGTCCATATTCACAAGATAGCAAAGAACATGGTCCCAGCAAGGCAGCAGAGGGTCAATGCTAAAGGAAATTAAAATGAATTTCTGTTGAAAGATGAGCAGTTGGCTTGTGGTAGAACTGTAACATCAGCAATTCCACAGTTTAGGAATTGCTTATCTTTATAAAGATAAAGCAAACATTTATGTACATGTATCAAAAAGCTTTGTGGGAAAAAAAAGTCAAGACATCTCAAGATTGAGTCAGACATGTTCCAATTTGGCCAATTGCTTTCTACTTCATCACTCTCCACTTGTACACGTCTGAATGGCACATGTTTCAAAATTCATATACATTAAATTGCTTTTTTATGACAGCCTTACTAATACAAGATTCAAACACTTACACTGATGGAATCAGAAATTTACAGTACAGGAGGCGGCCATATAATTCATTGTCCCTGTGTTCACTGTCTGGAAGAACTATCCATAACACACAATCTCCTTCCCCTATACTTATAATTTTCGTACATTTGGCTAATTCCCTTTTAAAAGCTATTATGGATTCTGTTTCAACCACTGAGTTTGCTCAGCCATACTTAAGAGTATCCAAACTAAGCTGAGGTTTCCATGCATTCCAGCTACACATGGAAATCCCAGAGATAGATTGTTGGAATGGTATGCATACTCTCTCCTTGAAGTGACGCATCCTGCTTATCCAATTCCAGAAAGTATTAGGCACAGATTGGCAAGAGCCAAGGCTTGGGGACCCCAGAGTGTGCGTTGGGGTACTGCTGGAGTCTAACCAGCTAAAATCCCCAGCTTGCCATTGATATTACTGTCCGGCAAGCTTTCCCACTGCTTGTCCAGCGAGGATCACCCTATCCGTTAGGCCTTTGGCTTGCAGGGTTAATAGGATTTGAGTGGGCTGACTCCCTGCCCCCAGAGACTGGTTTGCCCTTTCAGGTCCTGCCGATGAATCAGGATGGCTGTGCTGTCATTAGCAGTTCCCTGGAATACTACGGATCTGCTTGACTCAGGAACTGGACTACCTAGACCGCTATAGAAGGCTGGCTCTATTCTGACATTCCTTTGCCAGGCATGTTACCTTAGAACTAGTCTAGCTCCAAGGAGACTCTGCTTACCCTCCACCCCCAGGTTAGACTTGAGATTGGTAGGCCAATCCATGTCCTAATAACCTCTGTGCAAAAAAAACCTCTAACCTCTCCCTTTGCTTTTTTTTTTGACAATTTTAAATTCATGCCCAGAAGAACTCTTCTTCTCATTTACCTCATCAGCACTTCTTCTTTCACTGGAAACAATACATTTTTTATCGAAGTATTGGTTTAAGAGAATTAGCAAAAGAACCAGAGGGGAGATGAGGAATTCTTTTTGTGCAGCAAGTTGTTACTATCTGGAATGCACTGCCTGAAAGGGTGGGGAAGCAGATTCAATAATTATTTTCAAAAGGGAATTAGATATATACTTGAAAAGGAAAAATTTGCAGAGCTACAGGAGAAAAGCAGAGGGTGGCACTAATTGGATAGCTCTTTCAAAGAGCCAACACAGGCACGATGGGCCGAATGGCCTCCTTCTGTGCTGTAAGATTCTATGATTTCATACCTCCCAAGTTCACTGTTAGATTCAGATAATCTGCAGGGTGAATCTTAAAAAACTGTGCCTCAATTAAAACATGAGGGAGAAAGCGACCAATCAGAAGGATTCAGGTCACAACCCTCAATGCTTAGACCATCAGATATTTACTGACCCTGTCACTGCAATTTTCATTTGTCCAGAGTCATTATCCTCAATCATATCCGACTGAACAAGTATCTTGGCGCAATAGACTGACTCACTGTATATTAATATTGCACAGTACCGTCAGCTAAGCTGAAATACAAAAAATAGATCTCTGAGTGTAACTGTCTAAAGGGAGCCAAGTGAATCATCAGTATACCCAAATAGTTCTACAAATATACATTTATAATTTAAATGCGTTTTGAAAATTGGAATTTTAAAAAAAACTTATTTCTGATCTGGTAAATGGAAAGAAATGGAACAGAGGGAAGGTTTTTATTTCATACCTGCATCACAGAAGTATTGAGATGAGATATTTGATTTCCGACACAAATTTTTTTTATACAAATGAACATTGTGCTCACATGTGTAGAACCTACAATACAAAACGGACCTGGGACTTCTGTTCTTTGGTGTTTATTAATTTCATTTTTCAAGTTTTTTTTAGCAATTTTCAAATTCTATGTAAATCCCCAAAGATCAAGATTTTTTGAAGCTTTAGCTTTTTATACACAATACAAAATTACATTTGTATAGCGCCTTTCACGTTTGGAGGACATTCCAAGGAGCTGGGGGTTTATACAGTAAACTCCCAGCTATCTGGATATCACTCATCCGGAATTTGGACTAAGGCAGACCAGATCCGAAAAACAATTCTACACGCTAAAAATCCATTCTGTGTTTCAAACTCCCATGTTATGCCCTCAGTTCGACACTGATTTGTGTATCTGCAGGTATCAAAAGTGGTGGGGAGAATTATTTTATTTGTTTTAAATGTAAGGATTAGCAGTAAGCTGAAAAAAACGGGTTGCTGAACTGGATGTCTCCGACCCCCCCCTCCCCCATTAGTCTGGTTAGCCGGGGGTTTAGCCCACTATAATGAGAAGATTCTTTTGGATCCTCTTCTCCAGACATGCCTGTGGACACGGAAAAGAGAGAGCCGCCTTCACAAATTTGCAGTGCCTCCCTCCTCTCACATGCACACCCTTCACCAGCCCCACCTGTGCACATAGATAAGGAGGAGACGGAGAGCAACAACAACAAATTACATTTATATAGTAACTTTCATGTCAGGAAGTCAGCCCAGGTGCTGTACGGTCGAGGGTTTGCACTTGAGCTTGGATTTGGAATCAAGAAGGATGAAGGGCAAGGGGTTGGGACCAAAGGCACAGTCAAAGAGGAAGGTCTTGAGACGAGCCTCCAAGGAGGGAAAAGGGAGTTCCAGAGGATGAGTGCCCAACAGCCAATAATAGGGCGGGCAGTGCGGGGGGAAAGAGTGAGAGCAACACATCTGCACTCACCACGGCGCCACTGGAACCAGCAAGAGAGAATAAGAACATCTCGCTCAAGTCACCATTTCTGATGTTTATTGGAGAAATGCCAATTTGTTTTTTGTATCGCGAATATTTATCGGTTGAAAGCAAAAATCAGAGGCTCTAAACATAACACAACAAACATGCTAGCAAGAGGATTCAATTATTATCAGATTAATTTAAGTATCAACATTTCATCAAAAGTCAAGTTGTCCTCTTCAACATTATAATGAATTATTGTTGGAACAAATTGTCTAAGACAACCAAAATTCCCTTCATTTAAAAAAAGAACGAGTTAACCTTGACAGAAATTCTAACTCACCGATTTTCATCTGTAATGGGGATGGCTTATAATTCATCGCTACAGTCTCACCCTCTCGGTTGTCACACTCAACTTCAGAGACAGAAGTGGCTGTGGGGTCCTGTTTAGAATTATAAGATGAGTTAGAATTACAATGCCTAAATAATTTGCCCTTTCATGTAAAAACAACAAGTATTTATATAGCTCCCCTCTCGCAGGGTAGCTTCCAGGAGTGCTTGACAGTGGAGGAGCACAAAGCGAAACCACGGGAGGTGACACAACCTAAAGATGGGAAAGGAGGTGGCAAGATGGAGGGATTGATGAAGTATTCCAGAATTTTGGGGTGTAGTAGCTGAAAGTGCGGCTATCGATGGCAGATCGGAGGGTACGAGGGAAGCAACAACAACAACAAGATTCCATTTATAGAGCGCCTTTCATGTTGGGAGGACGTCCCAAGGCGCTGTACAGTTGGGTCAGGACCCGAGCAGCGGGGAAATGATCAGGGTAAGGGGAGGGAAGGGAGGGAGCGAAGAGGGGGTAGAGAGTCGAGAGGGGAGCTGAAGGCACGGTCAAAGAGAAAGGTCTTGAGACCGGCCTTGAAGGAGGAAAGGGAGGAGGCAAGGCGAAGCAACTGGGGGATAGAGTTCCAGAGCCTAGGGGCTGAGAGGCTGAAGGCCCAGCCACCGATGGTAGGGCGGTTGGGGCGGGGGATGTGGAGCAGACCGGAGCCAGAGGAACGGAGGGTACGGGCAGGTAGTAGGGAGATAGTAGGTCAGAGAGGTTGGAGGGAGCAAGGCCGTGAATGGCCTTGGAGGTGAGGATGAGGATCTTGAATTCGATCCTCTGGGGGATGGGGAGCCAGTGGAGGCGAGCGAGGGTGGGAGTGATGTGGTCCCGAAGCCTGGTGCGGGACAGTACACGAGCTGCAGAGTTCTGAATGACCTGCAGTGTGGAGGGAGGTGGCGGGAAGGCCGGCGAGGAGAGAGTTCCCGTAGTCCAGCCTTGAGGTGATAAAGGCGTGGACCAGAGTTTCAGCAGCGTGAGGGGTGAGGTAGTGCCGTAGTCTGGCGGACGGCAGGCGGCCGGAGCCAGTTGAGCGGAGGCAATGGTTAGTGGGTTCGGGAGTAAGCAGCTCAGAGAGGAAGGGAGGAACCTGAAGACAAGTGTGGGGATCTTGAAATTGATCCATTAGGTGATAGTCCTGTAGCTCAGTGGTTAGATCACTTGCCTCGCAAGCGAGAGACTGAGGTTTGAGTCCCGGCAGGGCGAAATGTTGGGCAAGTTTCCTTACTCCACACACCTCTGTTTACGATGTCAGAACTTTATAAAGAAGCTTAGTTGTTAGTCGATTGGCGGATCGCTTTTCCAGAGGTAAAAATTCCTTAAAAATAAAAATAAATTGGTCACTTCAATCCACGATTGTTTGTGGAACACTGCTGTGTGCAGTTGGCTGCCACATTTCGCCCACAAAATATACAGTCAATTCACTTCACAGTATATTCTGTAAATCGCTTTGAGACATCTCAAAGACATGCAAAGGCGCTATATCAAATGCAAGGATTATTACTATAGCCAGTGGAGCCTGGCAAGGACTGGCGTGATGGGTGTACGGAGTTTAGTGCGGGTGACTATGTGGGTGACGGGGTTTTGAATTAACTGGATTTTGTGAATAGTAGAACTGGGGGACCGGTGAGGAGAGCATTTGAGTGGTCATTCTGAAATGCATTTGGATTTAAAACACCTCAAAGCTCTCAACAAATTTAATTTAAATTTAAGAGTGACTAGCTCCAATGCGGAGTTGGCATGGTACAAAAGACCTATATCAACGCTAAATTAATACAATCACAGAAGAGCAAACCAACACCTGAAACCCACATTACAAGAGGACAAATAAAAAAAATTGAATCAACACAATTTTATATGAACAGTTTTGTTAGACAATAAAAAATTTTGATAGCCAATATAACTAGTGATAGCTCACTAGTTCTGAATGGACTATTCTACTCCCAATTACAGTTCTAAACTTTCAGGCACATTCCATGAAAAATTAACATTATTTTAATTTTGAAACTTAATATTTGAAGAAGCAAATAGTCAACTTAGTATTCAGGATAAATCCCTCATATGTAAATACTTTGCAATGTATTAATTACATATTTGGCAATCTGGTTCTTAAGATTTCTATCCAATTATTCACTGGAATACAAATATTGATATAATGTGCAATTATATAAACAAGAAATTATCACAGAAGTGCAATATGTCTGGACTTGGTTTTAAATCATCCAGGAGGCTCTGATTTAGGGGGAAATTTTTGGTCAGCTGAGTGTCTTGACACATACCATCACCATGCTTAAGACTATCCCATCTATTCATGGATATTCCACAGATATTTATTGGAATGGAATGCACACTCTCTCCCTGGAGGGACGCATCCTGCTTAGCTAAACCCAGAAAGTACTTAGTCCAGGTTGGCAAGAGCCGAAGTTTGGGGACCCAACCAAATTTGGTTAAAATTCAATAAAACTTAATAAATTACAGAAAGTCACCCAAGGCCTCAATTTAGCCACTAAATGGCATCAGTCACTGATGAATTTAACCATTTATTATGTGATGGCACACTTCTTGAATTAGCTCATAAAATCTGTCTCAATACACGAGGCAAACACCAAAGTACAACAGAATTTAAGAACTTACATTTTTATAGTACGTTATACATTAAAACTTCTCAAAGAGCTTTACAGTAATTGTCACATATAATAGCTTTTTGAGGGTTGACAAATGCATCAGCCATTTTGGGCACAGCAAAAACCCCAAAACAGCCACGATGGGAAGACAGATTAATCTGGAAGATTGCTCGCTAGTGAAAAAAAAGGTTTGCTCAAGTTCAAAATAATGCATTCTTAAAAAAAAGCCACTAAGTATTTGGGCCAGATACTCGTATTCAGCCTAGGTGATCTAGAATTTTTTTTATAATTAAGAGTGGTTCTGAAAAAGGAAGTACGGCCTGCAGGCCCTCCGCTTCCACCTCGAACAGCGGCCTAACCATCCACCACCACCCTCCTCCGCCTGGCTGAACTTGTTCTGACATTGAACAACTTCACCTTCAACTCCAACCACTTCCTCCAAATAAAAAGTGTCACTATGGGAACCTGCATGGGTCCCAGCTGCGCTTGCCTATCTGTGGGTCACCTGGAACACTCTTTGTTCCGGGCATACTCAGGTCTCAGATACATCGACGACTGTGTTCGGTCTGCTTCCTGCTCATGTAGTGAGTTGGAAAAATTCACCAATTTCGCTTCCATCTTCCACCCCTCCATAACATTTACATGGTCCATCTCCGACTCTTCCTTTCCTCGACTTCACCCATTTCCATCTTGGGGCTTAGATTATCAACAGATATATTTTACAAGCCCAACTCCCACAGTTACCTGGACTACACCTCCTCCCACCCCACCTCCTGTAAACACTCCATTCCCTTTTCCTCCGCCTCTGCCGCATCTGCTCTGACGATGCCACTTTTCACACCAGAGCAGCTGAAATGTCTTCCCTTTTCTTCGACCAAGGATTCCCATCCACTGTGATAAGCAGGGCCCTTGACCATATCCACCCTATTTTCCACAACTCTGTCCTCACCCCTTCCCCCTCTTCCCAGAACCGTGATAGGGTCCCAGTAGTCCTTACTTTCCACCCCACCAGCCTCAACATCCAAAAAATAATTCTCCACCATTTCTGGCACCTCCAGCGTGATCCAACCACTAAACATATCTTTCCCTCCCCTCTCAGCATTCCGAAGGGACCATTCCCTCCATCACCACCAACAGTTACTCTCCTCTCACCGGCACCTTCCCATGCAGCGCAGGAGATGCAATACCTGCCCTTTCACCTCCTCCCACTCCACTGTCCAGGGTCCGAAACACAGATTTCAAGTGAGACAGTGATTTACATGTACTACCACCAATGTAGTTACTGCATTTGCTGCTAACGATGTAGTCTCCTCTACATCGGGGAGACGAAATGCAGATTGGGTGATCGATTTGCTGAACATCTCCATTCTGTCCGCGAGCACAACACTGGGTTTCCGGTTTGTTGCCGCTTCATTTCTCCCTCCCACTCACACTCTGACCTCTCCATCCATGGTCTCCTACACTGTTCCACTGAGCTACAGCGCAAGCTCGAGGAACAGCATCTGATTTATCTGCTAGGGACCTTACAGCCCTCTGTTCTCAATATTGATTTCAACAATTTCAGACCATAACAGCTCACCTTCCCCCACCCCCCCCTCTTCTGTGACCATTACCACATCATCTGGGTCCCAGACACACCTTTTCACTCTCTGGTCTGCGTATTTTGTTGCAATTTCCCTCCCACCCCCTTTGTTTTGCATTATTAACACCTCTATTCCCCTGCTTTGTTGCAATCCCCCACTTTTGTTTTGCATTACTAACACCTCTTTTACCCATCATCCCCTGTCCTCTACCCCATTTCTCCTTTGCCTTCCTTCCCTGCCTCCCCCCTAACTGTTAGCCCTTAAAAGCTTCTCCTTCCCAACATGCCCCAGTTCTGACGAAGGGTCGTGGACCCAAAATGTTGACACACTTTCCTTTCTCCATAGATGCTGCCTGACCTGCTGAGTGTTCCCAGCGACTTCTGTTTTAGTTTCTGAAAAAAGAAGCTTTGAATCCAATATAATTTCCAGAGTTCGTTTCAAAAGGAAATTCTTCAATAAATTTAGTTAAGATCAGAGTAATGAGATAACAACTGGCTTGCTGTTTTTTATGAAAGGTTAAGACCCAATCACTTACAAAGAGAAGCTAGAAGTAGATAACAGCCACTTAAGATTCTTTAATTAGTCCATTTTTTAACCATAAATTTCATGTTGCATTGGACAACAAATTAAACAAAATAAGTGCCTTTATTGAACTCAGTCATGACACATTTCTCAATTGTACCAATGAAAAACAGTTAGATGTTTTACAAAGACCAGAGTATTTAGGTAAGATGCAGGACTTGGAAGTCAACAGAATAGGCCCACATTATAAACTAATTCCTCGATTCCCTGGCCAACAATCCTCCAAATAAAATTGGTCACTCACTTCATGGCTGTTTGCCATTGCTGTG